GGAGGGAGGGAGGTGGTTGATCAAAGAGGATCATTCTCGAGCAGGAGCGAAGGGGCAGGGGATTGAGGGAGGGGCCGGAGGGGAGGGAGAGGAGGGAGGGGAGGGAGGGAAGGGAGAGAAAGGACGAGGAGAAGGCAGAAGACTCGTCCAAATGAAGCGAAGACGAGGAAGCAGAGAAACACACACAGGCGGAGAGGCAGGAAGTATGGGAGGGAGGAAGAGGGAGGACAAGATGTGAATATGTAGGCCACGACTCGGATTCGAAGAACAAAAAGGAGAGCGCCAGAATCGGTTCTCAGACTGTTCAACACAAACCTACCTGCAGCGGGTACACACTCACACTACCCCCCTTTGCTCACAACGCCCTCGGACTCCCCACGACTTTGATTCCACATCGCGCCTGTCTCCAGTGTCTCGTCTCTCTCTCCTCCTCCTCCTCCTCTCTTCGCCGCCACCTACCTGCCGGTAGTACTCTTTGTCTATCATCGTCTCAAGAGTGACGTCAATCTTCTGATCCTAGTGTTTTAACATCTTCGTCATTGAGCGTCCCGATCCCGATCGTTCCATATTACTCTTTCGCTCCATCCTCAGCACCATCGCCACACATGGGTCGATCGGGGTAGGGACGGAGATTGACGGGATCGGGACGGCCAATGACGTCAATCTCCGTCCCTACCCCGATCGTTCCATGTTATTCGCTCCAGTTACTCTTTTTCAAATGTGTTATTAAAAAAAAAAGAAAAAAAAAGAGAGAGACTGTTGAAATGAAAAAAAAAAGAATTTTGAGGGGAAACAAAATAAGGAAAGAAATGGAAAAATCGAATTTTGAGGGGAAACAAAATAAAGAAAAAAAGACGGCTCTAGCGGCTGAAAGAGGTATACTTACGTGAAGGGCGGAAAAATACAGCCGCAATTTGTCCTGAAGGGCTTTTCCTCATAATTTTGAAGAGTGGTGGATCGGGGCACTACTTCTTCTTTTTTTTCTTTTTTTTTATAAAAAAAAGGCATTATTTCTGCCGCCTCTTCTCCTCCTTGGTAGTATATGCTCACTACTCTCTATTAAATCCACGCATCTTGCTTCAGCCACAAAAAAAAAAAAAAAAAAAAAAAAAAAATCTCGTTATTATCAGATAGGGGGAGAGGAACTGGGGGCGGAAGAAAGTGAAGACGAAGCCTATCAGGAAGGAGAGGAGGAGGAGTAGAGGAAGGGAAGCAAGAATAAGAGAGAGATAACGATAAGCGGGGGAAAAGGGTTCTCGGGGTCTTTTCCTTTGATGGGTGTACAGTGTACACGACGTTCGACTTCGGACGATTGCTACTTCACGCTCTCTCCCTTTTTTATTTTTATTTTTATTTTTTATTTTAAATTATTTATTTATTTATTTATTTAGTTATTTATTTAGTTATTTATTTTGTTCGTTTGTAAAAGGGCGACGGGCTTGGGATATCATCGTCCAGGGGCATGGTCCCACTAGCAAGCGGATAGGATAGAAAAGAGTTTGTGTGGCAGTTGAGTGACCCAAATCCTGCCGTGCAGTAGCCATGATCCTCTCCTTAACACTGGGCATGCCGGTGCAGAGGAAGCTTCCCGCCAAAGTCTTTTCAATCCGTTGGGGGCATGGCCAACCCCAAAAAAAAACGGGTCGTCCATAGGCCCACTGGATAGAAGATTTTCAGTATTTTGCTTGCTGTTGTGCAATTATCTCATTGGGTGGAGCCCTCCTTCAATCACGGAGTATATGGAGGGTGTCAGGATCACTGCTGACAGAAGTCGAGTTTATTCCAGAAAATGTGGCAGTTACTTTCTGCACTGTTGTTGCAACCACCACCATCAGATCATTTGTGATCTGATGGCTGGGAACCACTCTGCCGTGATTTCAGGTATGAGGTCTCTGTTTCTTTCTTTTTTTTCTTGCCTTCCTCCTGTTTTCTCACCCCAGAAATTCGTAATGAACCTGTCATCCCCCTGCCACTCCGTGTCACACTGGATCGGCCAAACTCCTATCCGACTGCTAATGGGACCACACCCCAGCAGGTCACCAGCGGCCCCCAGGTAAATTAAAATCGGGAATTCATTAAAAAAAAAAAAAGGAAAAAAAAAATATCGGGAATTCAGTTCATCTAATTCGGTCTGGACTCTGGATTCGAACGCAGGTCCGTATTTCAACAGTGCATAGGTGTACCAATTGGAGCTACCTTCTTCCCCCGAATACAACGTACGGTCATTATAGCTGTATTTGACGCATCTTTCAGTCTAGATACAGCTAGAATGACGGTACGTTGTATTCGCGGGAAGAAGGTAGGCCCGCTGGCTTAACGCTCTCTCCTTGCATTTCAAAGTGGACAGGTAAATCGCTCGATGATCTCCCCACATTGAGCATAATATAATAATAAATTAATAATCATAAGAATAACAATAATATATATATTTTTTAAATCCCCAATCCATTTCCGTGTATTTACCTCGTCTCTCAGAGTTCTTTTTTTTTTTTTGACTTTAAAATTTAAATAAACTAACGTCCTGAGCTCATCTACTCTTCTTCCTGCTATCTTCCTTGTCCGCTACTACGATCGCTAGTCTTTTTTTTTTTTTTTTTTCCCTCGTCATCTCCTGCCTGACTGATCACCACACGGTTACACGAAACAAAAAACGCAACGAGTGAATTTTCGACATAAAACGGCCAGGTTCATCGGCTTGCTATAGAAAGTAACGAGTGTATTTTGCCATCTTTCGTGGGCGGATGCACTCGTTTCGTTTTCGTTTCGTGTACCGTGTAGCAAGGCCCTAAGTGAATGTTCTCTCCCCTCCGCACCCCCCCCTCCCCTTCTCCCCCTCCCTCTCCCTCTCTCCGCACCCCCCTCCCCTCCTCCCCCCCCTCCCCATCTTCATCACTCTCTCAACCGATCCGTAGTCCGCGATCCGTGATCGGGATACTACTTCCTACCTCCCCCACTGCTGATGAGGCCTCGCTCCACTACTGACCCCAAGTGTGCCAAATGGGAATGAATCTGCCGCTAGAACATGGAAAGATGCACCGCCATTTTTTTTTGTCTTTTGTGCATCTGGTCAGTACTGGAGCGAGGGAGGCCCCCCCCAGGCCCCCCACTATCACCCTTGCGCAGGCCTTTCGAGTGAAAAGGTGTCTCCGCCCTCTCCCCTCCGCCTGAAATCTTTTCGTCATTCTCCCAACTTATCCTCTGTACCGAGAACCTGGTCCTTTTTCTATTTGACGATCACGATCGGTATCGACAATCCGAACAAAAAAAAAAAAAAAAATTCTCGACTCACATCACATACCCCACACCCACCCATTGTTTTTTCCGTTTTTGTTTTTTTTTTGTTTTTTTTTGGGGGGGGGGG